TCTTGGAAATCTGGTTCAGTGCAAACTTCTGATAAGTGCCGGGAAAATTTCAGAAATAAATTACATCAACTGACCGACAAGCCTACGTGCGTAGAAGATATTTGGGGTAGACGGTTTTAAAATATATAGAACAGGTGGTTTTCACGTTACGTCATCGCCGCCATGCTGGTGCACTCTAAACAAAAGATCGCTCATTTAGCTCGCTTTGTTTGTCCACCAGCATTTGTTCATTTTATCATTGTTATTTGTGTCTCCCGAGATTGCATGAAAACCACCTATTGTTTTTATTTCCCCACTGCACTTTGTCATTCAATAACTGCCGACGCATCACTCTAAAAATCATTGGTGTGTGGTTGAGCTTCTTTAACACGCGTTAAAAATTCTGATTTTCTCAGCAAGCTCTATATGTTTATCACAATCTTTAAAAACTCTAGATGTTTTATCACGCGTGACCTTTCTGCAAGTATATTTTGTTTAATTGTTTCAAGGTTTTTAACAGTCCACATAAACGACCCAGATATTTTCCAGACTTGCAGTTTTCCGTGATGAAAACTATAAATCATTATTGAATGAGATCATTTTGTCGTGGTTTAGTCTTTATATTGCTCGTACGCGTACAAACGTTTGTGAGACAAATGATAAATTGAAACGTCATGTTTAGTTGATTTTGAATAGCCCATTTTAAAGTTGCAGGTGAAAACGAGGCTGGAGTTGACCTTGTTTTGATACAACCCTTCCTGCTTTATTATGTAAATCATGTCTTTGTTATGCTAACTAGTATTTTTTAAGCAAAATTTACATTATAAAAGGAATGAGGTTTGTATCACAACAAAATTAACCTCAACCTCACGTTCTCTCAAGGGCTAGGGCACCAAGCCCACAACTGTAAAATGGCCATGCGTACTGGACTGTAAACCCCGCGGGGGTGGGGGGAGGGTGGGGGGGGGGGGTACTACTGGGAATTCTTGGTGGGGGTGTGCCGCCCGGTTCTTCAAATCCTGACCCGATTTCAGACTAAAAAACTGTAATTTTCCACATCCGTTTTCAGACTAGACCTCTAAAATCCATTCCCGTTTTCAGACCTGGCCTTTATGTTATCATTACCTACTAGTGGATTAGAGCGCAAACAAAAACGTTATTCAATCCATTTCGAATTCGCATATTTCTCTTTCTTTCTTACTAATTTGGAATTGAAACGATAAAGTCGTTCGTACACTCCGTAGTTCCCTTTAAAACCATACCCGATTCCAGACCAAAATGGGCAAAGTGTATGATTACCCGTTTTCAGGCCAAAACGGCGCAAAAACCCTACCCGATGGGGCGGCACATACCTATATAGCTTATATAAAGGAGTACCCTCCCCCCCCCCGGGTTGTAAGCCTGCTTCAATTATGTGATGCCTTGTACAGTCCGGCCCCTCAGAAGTGATTTTGATACCCAAACTGACAAGAGTTAGTACATACAAAAGAATTTTGTTTTTCCAGAGAAACCAGAGTTCTTGAAATAACCAACATTGGTTCAAGTTCTAGTCACGTTTTTGTGGTGACCAATGGTATAAAAAAGCTGTTTTGTTCAGATCAGAGGGCAAACGCGCTTATTCTTCTTTTGCTACCGTGCGAGCAACAGAAAACACTTTGAAACCTTAGCGTCATCACAGTCAGATCAGTCAAGGTGAGGATTCGTTTTAAAGCGTTATAATTCTTTCTTTCCCTTAGATCTCTCCTGTCAGCTCGGGTTATGAATAGCTTAATTCACTGGTTTAGACTGATGATTAAGTTTTATATATCTTTGCCTGTAAATTTATTTTTACATTCTACTGGTTGAAAACTATATTGAATTGGAGAAGCTAAACAACTTAACTTGGTATTTTAAGAGGGTCCGCGAGTTCAAGAGCAAAAAGGACCACTTTTTGCGATTCCTTTATTGGAATTTTAACAAAAGAAGGCTTGCATATTTGTCGTCAACTCCACTGATTTAACCCAGTATCCATAGCCAGTATTACATGAAAGTGAAGAGGAAATTTAGTTAGACTGTTATTTGGATCCCCAGTTTTGGTACCAGCCTAAGCGCTGTTGACTTTACAAGAGGGATTTTTTTAACGTAGCTCCGCTAAGAATACTTCGCAGTTTTAATTTTAATTTACAAGCTCTTGAGTCTTTTACATATCGTTTGTTCGACAGCCAGAGATGCGCTTGTACGAGATCGTTGTGTTGGTCTTGGCCCTCTGTTTGGTTAAGTACACCAAAGCTGAAAGCGAGAAGGATGCGGAAACCTTGAGAGGTGAAGAAACATTAGCGAGGGACGCGAATCTCGACAGCACCGCCTATCTGAAGGAAGACCCGGAAAAAGCCGCCGAAGACCCAAAGATACCAACAAAGCAAGACACCGAGGAAGATATCGGAGAACGCCGGGTGACTCGTGGGTTTCGTGACATTCGTCTCACTATTAGCGTTCCTACAAACAACATCTTCAAAATATTTCACATTAAATTCTGTTTCCG